CCCCCCCCCCCCCCCCCCAAAGAAAGACAATCAATCACCCCTTCCCCCGCTTCCCCTCTGTCCCAGCACCAGCACCAGCACCTTCCCCCTCAGCACCAACACCCCCCTTCTTCCGGCCCCTCACCTCCCGCAAAACCCGCTCGTACCGCTCGAACCCCTTCCCCCAGCCCGTCTCGCCGGGCTGCGTCCGCACCCGAAACACATGCGCCTTGCGCGTCCACCCCATCCCCGAACACCCCGGCTTGGCCGCGTTGTGCGCCGCGCCGCCGGCCATCGGGTCCAGAAACCGGCTGACCTCCGTGTTGCCGGGGCTGACGTACAGCGGGTCGTCCTCGCGGTAGTCGTCCAGCGCGCACTCGGCGTCCGAGGCCAGCACCTCCAGCGCCGGGTCGGTGATGGTCGGGTCGAACGACCACGGGTGGTGGGCGGCTGCGTCGTCGGTGCCGCTTTTGGACGTCTCGTAGGACTCCGGCCGCAGGAGGTGGCGGTCCAGGTCGGATTCCGGGTGGCGGTTGCGGTGGTGGCTCGTGAGGTAGGAGGAGGAGGGGGTCGGGGCTGGGTTGGGGCTGGTGGGGTTGGTGGTGGTGTTGGTGTGGGTGTTGGTGTGGGGGGATCGCTTTGATGGTGGTTTGTAGAGGAGAGGGAGGTGGGATGGGGTTTGGGGTTGACGGCCTAATCCCCTGGGGAGGAGGAGAGGGCGGGAGGCTTGGGTTTTGGTGGTTAGGCGCCACATTGTAGGTAGACGGTTGGTTTGTCTTGAATGAGTTGTGCTTGGGGATTGTGAGGCTGATATGCTCTGGGTTATCTGGAATAGTTGTTGTTGGTTGTGATGGGCTGGGAAAGTCACGCTGTCAGTCACCCTGGACTCTCTTTATGGGAATGGATGAGGTTGGCTTTGGCGCTTCACATGCTGACGTCAAGATGCTCGAGTACGATCCGAACCATGGGTGCCGTGCGACTCGGGCCTGTCAGAACACCACCCCGGACTCGCTACCAATCATAACCGCAATGTCCGGTGTCTTCATTCATGGGTAATCCTGTCCGCCAGTCTGGGGTTGGTTAGACTTTGTGAAACAGCCTGCAACATCCTGTCCCGCAACGTTCACAAGATACAGCGTGCCCTAAGTAGAGAAGTCTCGCCATCCGACAATCCCGCAAAGCTCAACTCCCCTTCCATTCATGAACCTAATCACCTTAACCTCATTTCGAACAGCACTCCCATTCATATGGACACACATCCCCCGAGAAACCCACCTAAGCCTTGACCGCATACCTCCTCCGCAACATCTCATCCACATACTCCAAGTAATACGTCCCCGGCAGCAAAACCCCCACATCCCCACGAGGCACATACTCCCTCCGCTGAAACGCCTCCTCCCTCAACCGACACATCTCATCCCACACCTCCGGCGCAGCGGGCATTCGGGCCGCCAACCGCCTGTGCAGATCCAGCCTCTCCGCCATGACCCTCGTATCGCCGCGCACCACCAGCGTGAAGAGGGTACTCGCCAGCCCGCTCCCATAACTGAACATGCCGATCCTCTTCCACTGGAGCCGCTCACTCGGCACGGAGGCCAGCAAGCCCACGAGCCCGGAGTACAGACTAGCGGTGTACATATTCCCGCACTGGGCCGGGACCAGCAGGCCGGGCCGCACCCTCTCCTCGAAGCGCGACTGCGCCAGCGCCATCAACTGCTTCTCGAGCCCCTTATCGCCCAGGGTACTCTCATCATCCAGACCCGCCCCGCGCGGCCGCAGCTCCTCCGGAACTCCCCCAGTGCGCAGCAGATCATTCCACAGCAGCCGGGCATACGCCTTGGCGACGAGCTTGCAGTTGGGCGCGTGGAAGAGGAAGTAATCGAAGGCGTCGATGCCAACGCCCACCGGCCCCCTCGCCCGCCCTCCCTCATCCTCCTTCGTCTGTTCCTCCTCCAACGCAAGCATCTTCTCCACCCAACCCCGATAACACCCATCCACCGCCTCGAGATAACACCTCCCGGACCCCGCCCCGTCCACAAAAGCAGCCTCCCTCCCAAAATCCGCCTTGAAGAAGTCCCACGCGTGCCGCATGTACGACGCCCGCGGCACCCCCGCCTCCACCACCACCGGCGCGTCCGCCCCGACAAGCATGGCCACACACCCCGCGCCGCCCGTGGGCCGGGCCGCCGCATCCTCCCGCGCATACGCGGCGATGTCGCCGCACACGACCACGGCGTCGCGGCCGTCCCACGCCGAGGACTCGATCCACGCGACGGCCGCCAGCAGCGCGGCGGTGCCGCCGTAGCAGGCGTTGTAGGAGTCCACGCCCTCGACGTCGGGGTATTCCGGCGTGAAGAGCTGCATGAGCACCGTCTTGGTGGATTTGGAGCGGTCGAGGAGGGATTCCGTGCCCACGCCGAGGTATCCGATGGAGGTTGGCGGGATGGCGTTCTTGTGGAGCAGGGCGGAGAGCGCGGTTAGGGCTAGGCTGTTGATGTCTATCCACGCCGTGGATCCGTGGATCCGTGGGTTAGCGGTTTGCTAGGCGGGAGGGGACCGGGGAGGTTGCAGGGGGGGGGAAGGGGGACTGGGGGACTCTGGGGATGGAGGGGTTACCCTCGCGGTCATCGCAGAAGCTCATGTTCGTTTGGCCCAGGCCGATCGTGTGCTTGCCGGCGCTGACGTGCATGTATTTCTCCAGGTCGGGCTGGGGGACGTACTTCCTCCGGATCGTTTCGTTAGGTCCTCGCCACACCACACCGGATGAATCCTGGGAGAGATGAGTGGAGTGGAGACAGCTTACGCGGTTGGGAAAGTAGATCTCGATGGCTTTGATGCCGACGTTCTGGGGGCGGGTCATGCTGGAAAAGGGGGTCACTGAAGAAGATGATGACCAAAAGTCGGAAGAAGATGATGATGTGCTTTGCGGAAGGGTTGAGCTTGTTGCTTGATCTATAAGCTGTCGCACTCTGGAGTATTTATGTCTGCTCGACAGAATCCCGGTGGTCGGGGCTGGTGTCGATGTCGGAGATGGACTAGGCGTCAGTGCTCGCGACTACGGTGTACATCAGAGCATACCGGCCACGATTCAGCTCGGACTACCGGGATTTCCTCTTCAGGTCGTCGACTATGGCTGCGGCCATGCTAGTCGACTGTGCTAGGGTGTGATGCTTGAAGCTAAGAGGTTAGGTTCGTGGGAGGCTGCTGTTCGACCGGGGTGAGTGGGTGGGTGTGGGTTGGAACCGCCAGGGTGATGGGGGTTATACAGCACCACCTTGGCTGGACATGCGCAACCCAGACTTTGAACCGGTTGAAATCAACAAGGTGCACTTCTCCTAGACAAATAGGTGAGGCACATTACCTATAATGAATGCTCTTGTCGGGCTCATTGGCGGACCTCAACAACCCCGACCCGAGCACGATCCATGTTAAACGCACCCTTCTCTCAGTCTCGACCTTGACTGAAGCAACCAGGGTCATTGCAGAACATTTCACTTAGAGACTAACCCGCAGCGCTAGGCAATTTCCAGACAGAAATTGGTGGAAGACTATCTGACTCCTGATGCGGGTGTTAATGGTAAGGTTGAGGATGACACTGCCTAAATGATGAACCAGCCACCCCTCCCAGCTAATAAGAGTGGAATCTCACCGATTGGGGAACTTGCTTGAAAGCTTTTATCAATTTTCAGAGGGGACGATTTATCTTTGAAGTAGTTCGCATATCCCTTTGTTTTTCTCAGGCGTGCAGTGGACATACATAGTTCTCCTCCTCCTCCTCCTCCTCCTCCTCTTCTTCTCGTTGGCAGAAATACTAACTCTGAGTGCAGGAAATGACTAAGTATTTCTTCTCAGATGCCGACAATTGATCACTGAGGGAGAATCAGAGATCTTGCGGGCTATACTCTCAGCAGCTGGCCTGGTGTGTGACACGATAGTAGCTCTTAGCAGCCATGACCGAAGCGACAGAGCGTACAGCCACCCAAGGCCTTGAGATCCCTTTTTTTCACCTCTCATTTTGTCTTTTGGTGCAGATGTCGCCAATCAGCCGAAAGTGTTCAAGCTTCTACAGACGACCGTAGATGTCGTAGTCGAGAGCGTGGGAGAGACGTAACTATCTCACCAAGAGCAAGGGTATCTCCCAGCACAGAAAACAGAAGGCCGAAGACTACAAGTCCGTCAGCCACTCCCCTTCAGCACAAACCGTGCCCTCAATGGCAGCGCCCGCATCGCCAACCCATACGTCACGCCACAGGATCGTCCGTCTCCAGGATATCCAGCATGGATGTCGATGACTGGGCCGCATGTCCCATTCTACATGTTTCTGCACGCACAGGAGTATTTATAGACATAAAATTGCTCGAGATGATATCCAATCCCAAGGTGTCCGGTCTGACAGTTAGACTCAAACTATAATAACCTCGAAGACGATGAATCCGTAGCATTTACGACCCGACCCGTCAGGGGTCAGAACTAAGCGTATCAGCGGACGTGTGCACATCCTCGAACACCATTATCCACAGCCATATCCCTCACCAGAACCAACCCCCTACAATACTAATAATGCCCAGCAACCGTCAACGTCCCCGTCTTGGTAACCAAATACTCATTGACAGCAACCTCCTTGCCACTCTCCTTCCCATACCCGGACTCCTTGACCCCGCCGAACGGCGCCTCCGCCGCCGACGACGACCCGGTATTCAGCCCAATCATGCCGGCCTCGAGGTTCTCGAACAAGCGCCACAGACGATCGGCATCCTTGGTGAAGGCGTAGCTCGCCAGCCCCATGGCGGTGTCATTGGCCAGCGCGACGGCCTCGTCCTCGGACTCGAAGCGATACAGCGCGGCGATGGGGGCGAAGGACTCCTCGCTGGACACGCGCATGTCGGCGGTCATATCCCTGAGGATGGTGGGCTGGAAGAAATACCCCTTGCCGTGGACTCTGTCGCCGCCGAGCACGACCGTCGCCCCCTTGGCCGTGGCATCCTGCACCTGCAGCCGCGCCTTCTCGACCCCCTGCGGCGTGGTCAGCGGGCCCATCGTGACCCCCTCCTCCCACCCGTTGCCCACCCTGATCTGCCGCTCGGTGCGCTCCTTCAACATCCCCACGAACCTCTCATACAGCCCCGCCTGCACGTACACGCGGTTGGCCGTGATGCACGCCTGGCCGGCATGCCGCCACTTGAGCGCCATCAGCATGTCCAGCGCCTGATTTAAGTCTGCATCATCGAAGACCAAGAACGGACAATTCCCGCCCAGCTCGAGCGTCATCTTCTTGAGCCCGTCGGCACAGTACCCGGCCACCAGCTTCCCGACGCGCGTCGACCCGGTGAACGTGACCTTGCGCACGGCCGGGTCGCGACACAGCGCCTCGCTGACGGCGGGCGTATTCGCCAGATCGGTGGTGACGACCCCCAGCACGCCGGGCGCGAACCCCGCCCGCCGCGCCAGCTCCGCGAGCACGAGCGCGCTGACCGGCGTCTCCGGCGACGGCTTGACGATCATCGTGCACCCGGCCGCCACCGCCGCCGCCGCTTTGCGCACCACCATCGCCACCGGGAAGTTCCACGGCACCAGCGCCGCCACCACCCCGATCGGCTGCTTGAGCGTCAGGATCCGCCGGCCCGGGAGCGCGGCCGGTGTGATGCTCCCGGAAATCCGCTCGGGCTCGCCCACGAACCACCACGTGAAGGTCAGCGCGTAGTCGATCTCGCCCAGCGCTTCGGCCAGCGGCTTGCCGGTTTCGTGGACGAGGATCCGCGCCAGGTCCGTCCGGTGGGTGCGGAGCTGCGTGTCCCAGTTTTGGAGGAGTTGGGCCCGGTGGCGCGCGGTGGTCGTGCGGAAGGTGTGGAAGGCTGCGGAGGCGGCGTTCGTGTATTTGGGGATGTCGGACGCCGTGTTGGTGGGGATGCTGGTCCAGGCGGTTGTGGTTGCTGGATCTTTGGGAGTTGTTAGTAGGGAAGAAGGGGGGTACGGGGGGTTCCCCCCCGTGAGTATCAAGGGTATATATGTGTAGGTTTGATATATGGATTTAAAGGTGATACACTGCGAATAAGAAGGGGGGGTACGGGGGGTCTCCCCCCGTAGATCTCCAATATAAGAACAACATGATGATGCAGGTTGAATGGTTCATCAAAGAGGGAAGTGTGCATGAACGAGGACAAAGAAGAGAGACACACCTATAACCTCGAACCTCTCCCCACTGCTTGCAGGCGTCCACTCATTGTTGACAAAGGAGTCAAAGTGGAGGATGGACGGGTCATCGAGCTGCCCATCTTAGTCTTTCGTCGATGCTAGTGAGATGCTTGGGCAGTACGAACCTTGAAGGGGAGTTCATATTTCTGAGCCATGATGATATTTTGTCTGGATAGGGGACAGTCCTGTGGAAGGTGAGTATACAGTATACTGAAGCAGAGGTGGTTGAAATAAAGAGTAGGTAGTAGCAATGAAATGAGGGGTATGGGGGCATCCCATATTTAACTGTAAACTCAGCTCAGCCCAGCTCAGCTCACCCCGCACTCCACCCTAAATAAGATCGGCAGGGTTGATCATTCCGTCAGCTGTGGCTGATCTCCGCTGAGTGTAACCACATCACTACGCCTTCGAGTGCCCTACTTCTGCGGCCATTATGTGCCTTCCAGATATTCACAGCTGCATCCATTCAGCCGGAAAATGCGCCGGTGTGACGTGTGGCATTCCTACTCGGCGTGATAGCCAAGCTTTCTGTCGTACACTGCAATGTGCTCGTCACGGCGGCACCCCCCTCGTTAGTACAGGTTTGTGTTTTGCTGGGAAGTTGAAAGAAAGGGGGGTCCGGGGGTTCTCCCCCGGGAAGCCTGCATTAATTGATTTAGGGTTGGATGTTACTGGGAAGCTGAAAGAAAAGGGGGGTCCGGGGGTTCTCCCCCGGGAAGCCTGAGTGGTGTACATGTATCAAATCACTACAGTAGGATCATCAGTCCAGATTACAGCAATGTCACATCGTGCTTGGGTAAACAACTCAATTCAGTACGATCTTCTGATCTACAAGGTATATCTCCAGATCCCATCCCACTCTATCTATGGTATACTACAACTTCGCCTTCTCGCTCTGAGCAGCCAGGTCAGGCATCAACACGTCCCGCAAGTCGGAAGCCGCCTCGTTCAGATAGTAGCTCATGCGCTCCGCCCCCAGGCGCTTGCACACGATGTTGAAGTTCAGACTACACACATTAGTAATGTCCTGGCCATGCACAGTGACAAAAGCAACTCACCTGTTCTCGTTGATCATGTAGGCAATGCCAAACCCATCGTCAATCACCTGACTCCATCCATAGCCGTTGAAGAACTCCGAGCTCAGCTGGCTGGTGGACAAGTACCACGAGCCGCTGTATGCATAGGCCGGGTCCTCGTACAGGGCGGGCAGCTTCTCCCCCTCCTTCACCAGCTTCTTCAGTCCAAACAGGTGACGGTCCACGCCGCGGCCGTCGCTGGCCTCGGCCGTGTACTTGGAGTGGGCGGCCAGCGCCGCGCGGAACAACCGCACCACCTCCTCCCGGGCCACGGCCGGGTCGCTGATGGCCTTGCAGAAGGCCACGCTCTCGTCCGAGACCGTGCGGATCGTCTCTGTGCGGCCCTCCTGGAACTTGCGGGTCGACGCCGACTCGTACGTCGGGCGGTTCTTGCCGTACATCTTGTAGTAGGCCAGCTGGATGATCATCTGCACGTACGCATCCGGGCTGCACTTGAACTTCTTGATCAGGCCCTTGCCGTAGCCCTGGTACGCTTGCACCTTCAGCTCGTGGTTCGAGATCTGCTGCCGGTGCTCTTTGGTGGCCGCCTCGATCGCCTCCTCCACCTCGCCGTTGAGGTGGAAGTTGATCGGCCGCGGGTCGGGCAGGTCCGACCGCACCGCCTGCTCCGAGAGGTCGATCTTATTGCCAAAGATCAGGCCGTTGAGGTGGTCGTTGAGACGGTGGGTGGGACTGCCGTCCATCATGCTGTGCTCACCCATGAACCCGGCCGTGCCGTTGTC